GCAGAGATCGTCAGAACACCGGCAACAGTTCAACGTTTAGTCCTAAAAGACGATGCAACTCCGACTCTGTAAGATGTGGAACAATGATGTTGTGTGGTTGTGGACTTGTGAGTAACCATCTGCTAGGTACGGTCGCGGTCTGAAGCGACTTTGATTTGGATCACACTACCTGTTTCTTACGTCCCGCTCTTTGGGTCTTCTTAGTCTCTTGGTTCTTCAACCAGTATTCAAATAATGGTCCTGAAATGTTGAGGAGGGGTGAAATGAGCAACACTTAACAGCTCATGTGTCCACCGAAAAGTCGTCATTAGAAAACAGAGCGTGTCGTTTCTCTTTTTCTCAAAAGCCATCTGCTGAGGACTCAACCTTGTGGTGAGATTGTTGTCTCAGCTGCCGTTTCCAACAGAAATAGAAACCTCTCCACATCTGCATTTTAGTTTCTATCAAAATCAAGGGGTTCTGTCCTTGTAATATCTTGGAATTAGAGCCTAGAAATGTGTAGGTAATAGTAAGTTTGCCATTTTTACGCTGGAGACACACTGGATCCATTGATAGATACTGTTCATTTACTCAACAGCAGGTCCGCGGCAAGTTGACTGACCTGTTCCTGGTATCTGTATTTGCATAAACAAGACACTCAACCAATGCACCAGCTCACGAAACTCACAGCAGACTGTAAATCTAGGCAGTGCTGATCAAATCTAAATCAGTAATCTGTTACTTGATTGCCTACTTCTCTCCTCAAATGTTTCATAAAATATTTTAGTGTACTATTTAGTTCTAATGCTAACATTTCTGATCTGGCCACCATGCTGAAAAAATCCAAGCAGCCCAACTCGTTTTGTTATCTACTAGCCGGAGCGTCCATTGTTACATCCAGATGCGCCCTTGTCTGATTTTGTGTGTCGCCCACTTTACGCTATCATCAGTAAAACACCAGCAAATGTTTTAATATTAAAAGCCTTTTTGTAAATTACTAAGTACTAAGTATATATAATATATAATATAGTGCTGGGCACGTAAACGTTAAACTTAAGTCGCTTTGGATAAAAGCGTCTGCCAAATGAGTAAATGTAAATGTAACGGTTATTAAACGCATTCATTAATTAACGCAAACATTATTTTATCGCACATTAACGCAGTTTTTATTTTACTATATTATTTTGAAAGTCCATTGCTCACTGGCTCAGGATACATACAGTCATACCATGGGTCACAGGAGGGGTGGGATGTTGATCAGCCTGCAAATCACCCAGCAGAGGAGGGTGGCTTCGAGATGCTGTCATCTTTTTTCCATATTTTTCCACCACGGCAGCAGGTGAGCCGCTTGCTGTAATGACGCAGCTATCAAACAACTCAACAGCCGAAACCAACATCTGCACCCTATGTTCAAGGTTGCTCAACGTTACTGGTCTCTGCTTGTAAAATTATCACGACATTTCAAGTTTTTAACCGAGGGAAGTCTGTGCAAGTGAACACAT